TTCGTCTCCTTTGGTCTGAACGCCACGTTTCATCACGCGACACTACACTATACACTACTATACACTACACTATACACTACACTATACACTACACTACTACACTATACACTACACTATATACTACACTATACACTACACTATACACTACACTATACACTACACTACACTATACACTACACTATACACTACACTATACACTACACTATACACACTACACACACTTCACTATATATTACACTACTACACACTACACTATATACTACACTACTACACACTACATTATACACTGCACTATATACTACACTACTACACACTACACTATACACTACACTATACACTACACTATATACTACACTATACACTACACTACTATACACTACACTATACACTACACTACTATACACACTACACTATATACTACACTATACACTACACTATACACTACACTATACACTACTATACACTACACTATACACTACACTATACACACTACACTATACACTACACTACTATACACTACACTATACACTACTATACACTACTATACACTACACTATACACTACACTATATACTACACTATACACTACTACACACTAAAAACTAGACTAGATTCAATATAAATATATAAGAGCCGTTAGATCCCACGTGTTAAATGTTATTAAAGTTTCCCCGTTCTGCCTCAATGGTTCCGTTTCGTCTCCTTTGGTCTGAACGCCACGTTTCATCACGCGACACTACACTATACACTACTATACACTACACTATACACTACACTATACACTACACTACTACACTATACACTACACTATATACTACACTATACACTACACTATACACTACACTATACACTACACTACACTATACACTACACTATACACTACACTATACACTACACTATACACACTACACACACTTCACTATATATTACACTACTACACACTACACTATATACTACACTACTACACACTACATTATACACTGCACTATATACTACACTACTACACACTACACTATACACTACACTATACACTACACTATATACTACACTATACACTACACTACTATACACTACACTATACACTACACTACTATACACACTACACTATATACTACACTATACACTACACTATACACTACTATACACTACACTATACACTACACTATACACACTACATTATACACTACACTATACACTACACTATATACTACACTACTACACACTACACTATACACTACACTATACACTCCACTACACACTACACTACTATACACTACACTATACACTCCCTACACTATACACTACTCTATTCACTACACAATACCATGCCTGTGTAGGGGTGCTATGGGGAATAAACACATGGCACGGGAAGGTGTGGT